AGCGGGGGCGGAGGCGGCGGGCGCTGTCGGCCAGCCGGCACCCGGGGGCGGGGGGCGTGAGGCGGAGCCGGGCGGCGGCCCGGCCTCCCCCGGGCCGGGGGCCGCAGCCGCCCCCTCCTCGCCGGCTGCCTCGTTCGCTGACGTTTCCCTGCCGGGGCGAAAACGCGGTTGTTGCTGGTGCCTCGGCCCTGTCTCCTGGGCGTGTGCGAGGAGTCTTGTCCCCCTCCAAGCTGGAAAGCAAGATGAAGGTTTTACATTCTGTTAAGAAAAGCGCGTGGCCTTGTATGATTTTCACTCCGTTTCATAGGCTGTGGTTGTCAGTGTCTGTGTGTTTGGCAGAAATCGGTCGGTGGGGGCAGCTCCTGCCCCTAAGGTTCCGTGGTGCCCGGGGAGGCCCGGCCGTGAGGAGGAGCGCCTGGCGGGAGCCCCCTGGTCCTTCGCAGCAGGTGCTCTCGTACCTGTCATCTCCTGGGATTGCAAGGAAACGGTTTTACGAACACCTTTTCTAGGACACAATTCAGTGTTCGCAGACAGAACACGCAATCCCCTTGCTCCAGCTTCTCTGTCAAAGCCTGGAGAAAACGCCCCGTGCAGATGCCGTGCTGTTGCCGTCAGGCCTCGGTGCCCGACAGCGGAGCGTTGTCCCTCGTCCCACCGCCGCTGAAGGCAACGTGGGGTCCTGGCAGTTCCCGCTCCAGCAGCCTCCAGTCGGGTGGCAGAGGCCGGAGGCCGGCGCTCTCCTACGCGCTCGTACCCATCAAGGTCGGGCTGTCAGGAGCAGGGAAGGTGAGGCTGACGGTAAACTATTGGGTCTTGGCATCTTTACCTATTTTTAGACAGGTTTCAGAGTAAGGAGGAGACTGGTTTTCCCATGTCGGACACAAAAACCAATTTTGGTAAGAGCTTAGGGTCTGCAATTAATTATTCCGTCCTTCCTCTCTGACGATCTATCGTTCCAAGTCCCGGTATGCCCTGCCCTACCTTGGCAGCATGAACAGCTCCTGGATGCTCCTGTGAAGCCAGCACAGCTGGGTTTGTTCTGGCTGTGTGGTTTTGGGTTTTTTTTTCAGGTTATTATGTATCAAGACTAATATATGTCTTGAGAAGACTAGTGCTTTAGGCTGCAGATAAGTTTTAATATTTTTTTCCCCCAACTTTTTAAGGTTCTGAAACTTTTCTGGTAAATTTAAGTCTAATGTTAACTGGATTAGTTCTTAGTTTTTCTAATCCCTTAGGAGCAGCCCACAGGCTCCCAGCTTACTGATGGGCAATTCCTTTTATCCCAGGTGTTTTAATATGTTGTAAAACAGGCCTTGTAATACCGCAAATTAGCGTAGGGCTGGTGTATCACCCAAATGGATCAGCTGACCTCGTTGTTCATTATAAAATTACATCATGTTGCTATGTAAAACATACAGGTTCT